CCACGTTAGGTTTATGTGGCTGGCGCCTTAGCCACTTGAGCCACAGGCACTAAGCCATTACTTAAGTCTTAGCTTGTTCTCTGACCTTCTTGTACCTTTCAGAGTGCCTTGCATAGGGCCTGGTACACCACATGTGATGACTGACTTACATGGAGACATACACAGCACATTCCCTGGCTACCTTCAGAAACCAACACTCCAATTGTGGGTGAAGTTGAGGAACAAACTACCTGGAGTCAAGGCCACACTGTCCTGTTTGAGAACCCTTGTTCTGACTTCCTTTTTTTCCTTATCCCAGGACATTTAGGAAGGAAACCCTTTGCTCCCTCAGTCCCTGTCTTCTAGAAGCCCCTCTCTTTGGCTGTGGCTTTCTAGGATGCAGGCTGCCAATGCTCTGTTTCCCCTTGAGTTGTCCCCACCGAGATCATGTCCCCTTACCCTGTCACCCCTATGTCCAACAGAATCTTCGGATGATTCCTACGTGTCTGCTGGAGAGGAGCCCCTGGAAGCCCCCACATTTGAGATTCCCCTTCAGAATGTGGTGGTGGCACCAGGGGCTGATGTGCTGCTCAAGTGTATTATCACCGCCAATCCCCCACCCCAAGGTAAGATCCAGGGCTGGGGGAGGATGGGGTATGTGGGACAGGACAGGGAAGGGTGGGGAGGAGGCCCTGACTTGCGTGTGTGTCTGTGTGTGTTAAGGGAGATTTCTCAGGACCACCACTCTCCCCTCAAGATAGGAGGACAACCTGGGCTTCCCTGAGTGAGGGCAGATTCCTCACTATTCCCTGGGGTGGTGAGAAAAGTGGTTTGAGTTCCTGTGGGGCTGTGTGGGGCAAGGTGAGATTTTCCTAGTTGGCGCCCACAGAACATGTCAAAATGGTTCCCTGGTACTTCCCCACAGTGTCCTGGCACAAGGATGGGTCAACGCTGCGCAGTGAGGGCCGCCTCCTCATCCGGGCCGAGGGTGAGCGGCACACCCTGCTGCTCAGGGAGGCCCGGGCAGCCGACGCTGGGAGCTATATGGCCACCGCCACCAACGAGCTGGGCCAGGCCAGCTGTGCTGCCTCACTAGCCGTGAGACCTGGTAGGGAGACTGTCAAGCCTGTGGCTGGGTGGAAGAGAGCTATAACCTTTCTAGTGGTTCTGAGGGACACCATGGGCCCAGGCCTCTTTCCACTGCCTTCCCACTCAAAACCGAGAGTTTGGGCTCTCAGCCAGCTGCCCGGTCCATGCATAGTCCATCCTCAGGGCTGGCAGCTCTGGTGGTACCAATAACTCTGGTGGAAGCATTTTAAATGGCCCTGGCCTCAGGGCAGGGGCCAAACTCCCAAGATGCATAGGAGGCTGGCCACTTTATGATGTCAGTAAAATGTGTCTTTAGACATCCTCTGAATGCTACCCTCCCAGGGCATTTCCTGCACAGGGTCCTGTGGAGAAAGCAAATTGTCCTTGAGTATCAGGAAAAAAAAGAATCTCTCAGCTCAAAGGCTTAAGAGCCACCATCAGCCTTCTGAGGTCATTTCCTCCATAGGACAGTCCTCTCTCCCAGTGAAAGATGCTTTCAAGTGCTACAACCCACATCCCCCTACTGCTTTTGACCAACTCCAAAGCTATATAAAGAGGGTGCAGCTGAGAGCACCTCTCAGGAGAGGGGAGTGTTGAGGCTGCCTTGTTTTCTATTTTTATGAAAGCCCTTACTTGGTGTCAGACTACTTTCTTTGGGTTTCAGCCCAGTTTCTTTTTGGTTCCAGCAGAGCTGGACCCATGTCAGTGTATATGGCTAATTCAGCTCATTTAGCTTGCTGAGCCAAACAATGCACCGAACCTGGGCGGCAGGGGTGGAGGAAGTGAGTATGGGTAGTGGAGGTTACTACTGGGGAACCAAACCTGGATCAAAGGACCTAGATTGG